GCGGGCCCGCCGGCCGGCGGCGAGTCGTGGGCGCACAGCCTGCTGCGCGCCCACGACGCGGCGCAGGCGCAGGTGCGGCTGGAAGCCGAGCAGGCGCAGGACGACGCTCAGATGTCAGAGGAAGAGAGCGACGACTTTGGGCCGGCGCCGGTGCCGGCGGACGCGGCGGCGCCGCAGCCGGTGCAGGACAATCGCCGATGCGACGGCGCCAACGGCGCGGCCGGGCCGGGCAGCGAGGCGGCGGCGGGCGGGGCGGCAGTCGGGTCGCCGGACGCGGCACAGGCGGCGCAGCGGCGGCGTGAGTTTCTGATGGACATGCGCGGACGGTTTCTGTGCGGGGAAGACAAAGATTACGTGGATTACTCAGAGGTGCGTGGTACGCCAGGGCGAGGCGCTGGGCGCGCCCCTCCGCTGCTCACCTATTGCACCTCGACGACATGTGCAGTTAGTGTTCTTAGCGTGCCCGCCGCCAGGGAATCCCCTCCTTTAGTATGCGCAGCAGACCCGCAAGCCCAAAACACGCACGGGCTCCCACGCACGAACCTGCAGATCGACGCCGACGCGTCGCTCGACGACGAGGAGCACGTCAGGCGCCAGCAGGACCAGGACGCTGAGGACGCGTACTTCGATGACGTCATGGAGGGCGTGGACTAGACCGGCTGGCTGCTGGCCGCTCGTTCTGGACTGGTCCGGGCCAGGCCTGCGCCCATGCGCTACTGGGCTGAGCGGGGGCGACGTGCAGCGAGGAGAGGGGAATGCGGCGGCGAGGTTGATTCGCGCGTGCTGGTTTCCGCGTTGTACATGGTGCGTGTTGCGCCTGGAGTTGCTGCCCGTCGTGCAGTTTTTTTTTGTGCTTGGAGGTGGCCTTGGGGGCCGCCCTTTGACTGTGGTCAAGCGCTCTTTGTATCATCATGGTCTCTCAATAGCGGCACCAAACCAATGCGTTGCGAACAATGCTGCAGACGGCCACGACTCTCTCCATTCCTGCAAGCTCGCGGGGGCGGTCGCCCCTGCACCGCCGCTGCAATGGCTGCCAACTCCTGCACCTTGCAATTCATCACGGTCCATTGTAGCTGTTTTTCTGTTGAGCTTTATTGTGTCCTTGACCGGCCGGTTGGTTGTTGCGAACCAATGAGTCTCACCATTGCAAGTTGTTACAGTCATGCGCCCTGGCGATTCATCCCAGCACCATCGTGATGAGCTTGGAAATGTGCGCAGCAGGACGAAGAGAAGGTGGCTGTTGTTGGGGCCGAGACCCAACATTGATTGAGCAGTGTGTGTGGCATGCAGCACCCTTGTGGCAAAAGGAACCGACCCAAGACAGCAATGCTGGCTGCAGCGCTTGCAACCGAAGCAAGGAGAGCGAGTCACTGATGCAAACAGAGCATGGGAGCCCTGCGGTGGTTAAGTTCGACCGTACACACACAAAACACCGAGGGAAAGGTTGGTATAACTCCCTGCCATGCACGCCGCCAGTATTTTTGTATGCCATGTGGCCTGGAGCACACACAGTGCTCAAATTGCGGCGTGCGCAGGTGCGTGCAGCGGTTGTTGGTTCAAAAGGCGGCCGTATTTATCGGCGAGATGTCGAGTACTGTAGTATGGAAAACACCACACAACCAACAAACAGTGCATGCGGGACGCCGGGCCGCCTGCATATACGCTAATGGCAGCAGCCAGTCCCCTGGTGCTCATCAACAGGGCCGCACGGCCCGCCCAGCCCCTCCCCTGCGCCCCCGCCGCCGCCCCCAGCGCCGCCGCCGCCGCCGCCGCCCCGCTTGGGCGGCGTGCACGTGCCGCAGTCCTCGACGGCGTGGTCGCCGCCGCCCGCGATGACCTCCCCGATGTGGCTGAACTGGTGGCGCAGATACTTGGCTTCGGACTCCAGTATGCTCACCGCAGACGTCTCCAGCAGCTTCTGCCACTGGGCGTGCTGCCCGGGGTCCGCCCAGGCCGCGGCGGGCGCCCACGCGGAGGGCGGCTGCAGCAGCAGCAGCATGCACAACCTCTCAGCCGCGAACTCGAGGCGGGCGGCCTCGGGGTTGCCCTGCAGCAGGTCGGACACCAGCTGAGGTGGTGGGGAAGGAGGGGGCAGTTCGCGGCGTCGCAGCGCGGCAGCCGATGAATAATGAGTGGCCAGGGGCTAGGCCGCCAGGGGGTTCGTCGCCTGAAGGTGCTGCGCCGTCCAAGACAAAGCTCCCTGAATCAGTGCTGCTTCAGCTGGCCTGCCAGCAAGTGGGCGCGGCCTCAAGATCAATAGCCTGGAAGGCCTGCCGCCCATAAACAACACACCACGCGTCGAGGTGACCCCAGGTGCCGCCCACCGACGCAGGAGCAGCTGCGCAGCACTCTGGCCAGCAGCACAGCCCACACGCCCGGCCCCGACGCCGAGGCGCGTGGCGCCGCACCCAGGGGCAAGCCCGCATGCAAGCATGCAAACGCATGCAGGTCCCTGGTAGACCGCGCACCTGGTACAGCGGCGTCGCCCGCAGCTCCTCCAGCACCTGCTGCCTCACCGCGTGCGGCACGCACCTGTCCTTGGCGCACTGCGCCGACGCGTACCGCACCGCCACGAACGAGCCGATGCTGGGCAGAGGCGCGGACGCCGCCAGGCGCCGGAGGATCGCGGCCGGCTCGGCCGCGCCGGCGCGCGCGAGGGCCTGACGGCGACGGGGCGGCGGCGGCGGCAGCGCGGCGCCAGACCAGCGGCGAGGGTGTCGGGGGATGCTGCAAGCACAACCCAAGCCAGCTGCTTGATCGGCACCTGGGCCCGGCCTCGCATGCCTGCCCTGCTCAACAACACAGCACCACTACCCAGGAGCGGGCGAGGGCCCCGTCCCCCTCTGCTCCACGCCCCCCTGGCCCCGCGCACCTCGACCTCCGCCGGCGCTTCCTCGTGCCCCCACCGCGCCGCCTCGCGCCACGCGCCCCTTTGCAATTCGAGCGTGAAGAGCACGCTGTCGGGCCACTCCTGCACGGCGAGGCGCAGGAAGCCGCGCGGCTGGCCGGTGGAGGGGTCGACGGCGGCCATGGATTCGAACAGCAGCGGGATGGGGACCCAGTGGGGCGGGTACTTGAAGCGCGCCTGGTGGGGGGGGGAGCACAATGACACAGGACGAGGAAAGGGAGGGGGCACAAGTTGAGAAGGCACGTATTCGGGGAGTGTGGTTTGGGGCGATGGTGCTGCCTCGTGTCGCGGGGTTGGGTGTTGAAGGTGGCGAATGAGAGGCGGCGAGCGCGACGGCCGTACGGTGGCTTGCTCCGGCTTCGCCCCACGCCCCACAACCGACGCCCACGGCTGGCCCCAACCAAGTCGCACAACCCACCTGCCACCCCTGACCCACCCACCATGCCGTCTAGACCATGCTCCCCTATCATCGACAGCGTGACAAACTCAACCTCCCCTGCCACCTAGCAAAACCCCCTTCCCCCTGCTGCCCCAACCCCATACCCCCCACCCACCGTGTCCAAGATCAGCGCCAAGTCCCTGCCGGCGTGGACGCCGCCGATCGGGCTGAAATGCCCGTCCCCGGTCTGCAGGAAAGTCCGCCGGCTGTAGGACACCACGACATGCTCCTCCCCGCTGGCGGCGCAGTCCAGCAGCTGCCGCCGGAAGTCCTCCAGCGTGAAGCTGCCGGCGCGGTGCAGCTCGACGCGCGCGCCGTTGCACTTCGCCAGGCACGCGGCCTGGAGGGCGCGGGGGAAGGGGGTTGGTGGGCAAGGACGGGGTGTGTGCAGCATGCGTGGGCGTGCTCATGGCAGGAGCAGCACGGGCGAGTGCGCGGTCCACAAGATAGCCGAGTATCCAAGGCGACCCCAAGCAGCGCCCGCGTATCACCATCTGCACCCCCTCCCACACACACACACACCGCTAATTACACACACCCATGTTCCCAAATCTTCACAATTGGCCCCTGAAACACCCCAGTACCCTGACACCCCACGACGACCACCACCACATGCGCCCATACGCGCCCACATGCGCCCACCCACCCACACGCACACAAACACATACACACATACACACACGAACGCAAACGCAAACACACAAAGACGCAATCACGCGCGCGCGGGCGCCACCTGCGAAAGCACGATTCCCTCCGCCGCAACCTTGTCCAGCGGCAGGCAGCAGTCGAGCAGCTTCTCGTGGAACCACCGCCAGCTGCCCTTCCAGGTTCGTCGCGGGTCTATCGACAGCGCATTGAGCACCATAGCCAGGCTGGCCAGGCCGCAGAACGCTGGCTCGTCCTGGGTACTGCACGCGCGTGTGGGAAACATGAGATGCGTCTATCACAGCAGGCGCAGGGGTGATGTGCGGGGGGCAGTGGGGCGTGGCAGCTCATGAGCTGCATGGAGGCACGTACGCGGGCGGGCGGGAGGGTGAGGGCGGCCCCGCGTGGCGGCCGGGGCCTCGGGTGCAGGCGGGTTCCCGACGCCAGCCTCCCTTTTCAACACCCCCCTTCACAAGCCAGCAGCAGACCTGCCCGCCGCCGCCAGGAAACCCCCACCCCATATTAACATACCTCAGCTGCTCAACCAACTTGAAAAAGCCCGTCATGGTCCCGGCCTCCAGCGCCTCTTGAAACACCTTGCGACCTTTGGGAGGAGGGGCGCACATGGTGCGCGATGCAGAGCAGGGCGAAACGGCAGGCGGGGACGCGGTTCATAATCAAGGCATGCAGCTGCGGTTCGACATGCATGCGGCGTGACCCGCATGGGCGGCGCGGCCGGCCGCCATGATGCAGCTAAGCGGCCCCTGGTGCAGCGGGTGCGGCAACGGGGCGGGGCGGCTCTGGGGCCAGCTGGGGCGCGCACCCTCTGGAGAGGAGAACTCGATCGCGGGCGGGCAGGGCAGTTTGCGCTTGTAGAACGTCTTCTTGACGCCGAGCGGCGTCGGCGACGGCGCCCGCTGCAAGGGCGCAGGCTGGAGTAGAGCCACGCCTGATGGCTGGGCGAGCGCCGCCGCCGCCGCCGCCGCCGCCGCCGCCGCTCTGGCTGCGGCCGACGCATGGGCTGGAGCGGCGGCGGTGGCAGCTGTGTTTGTGCTGCCGCTGCAGCAGGCGTCCTCGGCGTGTGGCACAACGCCTCGGCCTCCACCCCCGTCACCGCTGGCCCCGGTGAGTACTTCGCTTGCTGCCGAGGTTACATGATCGTGCGGGAGCGGGCGCTGCTCCATCGCCGCCAGCGACCCTGCCGTGCGCTGGGCGCACGCCTGCACGTATCGCCGCGCCGCTGCAGCGACCGCTGGTGTGGCAGCGGTCCAGCCAGCTGAGGCAGCTGCAAGCGCACGCAACTGGTAGACGTTGATCAGCTGCGCGAGTCCTCGAAAAGCCATAAACGGCGGGCCGCGGCGAATTTGTGAGACAGCAGGACTTTTGGCTGGGTTTACAGCAGTAGTACTCAAAAACGTGGCGTGCATCACGATTGCGTTATGCGGGCACCGGCAAATGCTTCAGATCGGGGCCAGGCACTGCGGTACGCTCTTCAGCTCTATGCTGTGCAGGTACGGCAACACCAGCAAGCTCATGGGCAGGGGAGGCGCATCTGAGGCGATGATTTGATTGTGATAACGCAATGTGTGTGCTGTCGCACAGATACCAGCCCAAGGTGTGCAGGCTACGAGGCGGTGGGCAAGGGCGACAGCGTGATGACCGTCGCTTGACCGCCATAATGCGCGTTGACCAAGCGTTTCTCACGTCTTCGCATTGTGTGACACACCCTAGCACGCTGTTGCTCAGTGCAGCACTGACAGAACACAACGCCTCAGGTTGAGTAGCAGCATTGTTTGGTGCACAAACCAAGTGGCCAAAAGAAGCAGAGTCGCATCTTACAACGGTTGTGAGTGATGCCACGGGCTGCTTCGCATCGCTGCTATGGCGCCCTCCTGTCCAGTGCGCTGGCGAGCAGGCCGATACCAACACCATCTACGGCCTGCATGTAGACCCCACATGCAAACGAGTGCATGCATCAAGCTGCGGCACGGCCCCAGGCGATCAACCCAGTCACCAAGCCACAGAGCCCTGCGGAAATGACTTTCCAAAACTTGTATGATGTATTACGGGCTGACCGAGTGACGGGACTGCAGCCTCTCGTTCGTTTCGGAGCTGAGGCTGCCCAGCACAAAGTTGCCTGCAGAATCTGCCGCTGTTGCAGCCAGCAGTGCGGTCAATCCCAGCCATTGGGTATAGAGACTTTCTGCATAATCTCCAAGCTCTCTGATAGAGCAGATTGCGGCTCCTCATCAAACGCACCAACACCCGGTGTGACGCAGCGCGGCAGACCCTGTGCAGTGCCTTGCCCGGGGCCACTAAACCACGCAATTATGACCACTGGTGCAATGTCAGGCGCTCAAGCTCGGGTTTCTGGTCCCCTGATGCGGGTGAGACAGGAATCATGTTCCTTGCCGCGCTGTGCCGCTTTTGCGTGCACAAAGCTGCCGCGTGATAGACTTGCTGCATTTATGAATGCATGAATGGCGAGTAGGGGCACGTCAGGCCCACCGCGCCCGGCAATGTCGAGTGTCGGGGACGCTTGATGCGCATCCAACCTCGCACACACCCCGGCGCACTCGCTGCCCACTTAGCTACTGCTCCGACAATCAGCATGCCCTTGAATTACCCTCATGTGTGACTGCAGGCGCCACAGCTGGGCGTCTGCCGCCCCGTTCGCGCCGCACCCGTCGCCCACGCGTGGCGTGCCAATGGGCGGGAGCAGGATTCGCAGACCACCTCGTCGACGCAGGCCCGCATCAGCGCATGGCGGGCCAACGTCAACGGGAACGGGAACGGCAATGGCAATGGGAAGGCCCCTGAGCCCGAGTCGCCAGTGCAGGAGCGTGCGCAAACATGGCGCGCAACCACGCGGGAGCCTGACACAGACACGGAGGTGCCGGCGGCCATCAACGAGGGGCTGATTAACAGCAACTTTGCAGCGGCGCTGCAGGCCGCGCTGTCGCGCAGCGGGGGCGAGGGCGCCCTCTTGGGCGACGCGGGCAGAAGCGAGGAGGAGGAGCGCAACTCGTGAGCGACGCGGGGCGTGCGGGGCGCTTGGGTTGGTTCGCCTCAGGAGCGCAGGCACTCATATTACGTACGAGCACCGCGAATTGTCCACACCTTGTGGTTGGAGCAAACAGCGGCCGTTGTGTTGGTGTTGACAAAATGCTGCTCTTCCTGGTGAGGTCTGGCCGCCGCAAGTGTTGGAAAGAGAATGCACCGTGAAGCCACAACGTCCTTGCGTTCGCCAAAACCTGCTTGTACGCATACAGCCCGCTGAAGCCTGTGGAGGAGATGCTCGTCACGGCGCTGCACACCAGCCGCGCCACCCTGCGGCGCCTGGTGGAGCGGCAGTCCATGCTGGAGGCGGAAATTGCGAACGAGCAGAAGCAGGCGGCGCGGCTCGAGTGGCTGCTGAACAGGGCCAGGTGGGGCTGGGGTGCATGCTGGGTAGCAGCGCTTGCTGCGTTACGCTGAGCCACATCCACAATACCAGGGCCTTGTTGTTGATGGCACTGGCGTATAGCGCTCCACGTATCGATTGGCGATGTGTGAGGTGCACCGGGATGCACCTGTGCTGGCATGCTGCCGGTGCTGTCACAACCAGCCGCGCGGCTGCCGCCGACTGCAGCCGCGGCTGGGTGTGGCCAAGGCCCAGCGGTCGCCTCACCAACCCTGACGCCTGGAATCGCGCAGGGCGGACTACGCTTACTTCACCGCGATCGACAAAATGAGCCACGACAGCGACTGATCCTGCCCCATGGAGTGATCGAGCACTTGCAGAGGCCATCCAGCTGCGCGCTGCATGGGCGTGTGAGGACCGAGTTGAGGCGCAACGCCACCTGCAGGGCTGGGCAATGGGGCACCTTTTGTCTCGTGGGGCGTCGGGAGGGCGCTGATTCGGCGGAGGGGGTTCCCAAGGCGGGGCGCAGAATCTTGTACCTTCAGCAACGTGTGTACCTGCTAGCCGGCCCCTGGATCAGCTGCCCGTTTGGGCAGGGGCGTTCAATGTGATGAGGCCACCAGAGGTGTCGCCGCCTTGGTGGATTGGCAACAATTGTTGTTGACTCAGAGCCGTGCGCATGGCAAGCGCTTGGCTGGCCGCCCGCATGGCGGGTGCGCCGGGCACTGCTCAGGCGCGCGGCCGTGCCGCCCACGACCCTCGTTTTTTTTGTTTGCTGACCGGTCGATGACGGCCGTTGTCTCTGTTTTGTAATTCGCGCGCGTCATAATTGGTCGGCGCGCACGGACAGCAGGCGTGGTCGAATTTTGAGGCTGCGCATGCGCGCCAGTCGGCCGCCTGCGTCTGTGGCAAGTTCAGGCACTGTTTTGTTACCCACAGAGCTCCAGTGTCTGGCTGGCAGTGAGACACTGCATCTCCACACTGCACAACATGCTACAATAGCAATAGGATCATGCGAGCAGCACGTGCCGCGTGCACCTTGGTATGGCGGCCTGTAACCCATTACTTGCTGCGCTGCTTGTTATCCCGAGCAAGCGGGTGCAGACATGCTTGCTGATTTGAATTCGCTCTGCACACGCTGCATGCCGCCTGGCCTCGCACTCATTTGCCAGGTCAGAAGTGTGCTCGACAGGCCAGTTATAGTTGATGCAAGCGCATATGACATAGTAGCATTGGCAGGGCAGGGCTTCATCAAGGTTTAAGCACGTTCTTGGCCCCCCCTAGCCATAGATCTAGGATACTCGAGTTCTGCACGCCCACAACTGCTGCACGCGTTTGCAATCATGCTGATTATTTGGCGTCAAAAGGGTGCGGCGCTTCTGTGCAAACGCGTCGTCCCCGCTGGGACTGGCTGCAAAGTCAGCGGTTGTCTTCCTGTGTCGGGGACTGCCGCTGTGCAGTGCGCACTGCTGGGACCCCTTGGCTGGCTCATGGACCAGCGGCGCAGCTGCCAGCAGGCGGGCGTCGCCTACAAGGCCAGATCTGCCCCCGGCATGATGTTCGCCACCGCATTTGCACTTGTATTGGTCAATACCACAAACCAGGCCTGCGCCCCGTGCGACGTAACAACGGAAGATGCACCCAGATCTGCGCCTAGTCCCTAGCTGAATCCCGTGTAAATATGTCAAATGCACTATTTCTGAGAGCCGGGTGGCCCTATGATAACGACCGGCTGCTGGTGGACGCTGCGAACAGCACCTATGCCATTCGCAATCAAATCACGCCCCGTGGCGTGCGGGCGTTGTGGAACAATTTATGCAGCTACATCAGCACCTCGCTGCGGTGCCACAAGGTGTGGCACCACACACCGCCGCCTTCGAACAGTGTGCTGCGCCAGGGCGATGCTAAGCGTTGCGCTTGTGCGCGCAGGGCGTGCTGCTGCCGGGGCTCGGGATGTTCGTCGTGGGCCAGGCTCTGGAGGACCGCTACGCCGCGTTTAAGCGGTTCCGGCCCAGCTTCAGCCTGCTGGACGGGCGGTTTGGTGGCGTGTCGCAGGAGCGCGGCAAGTACCGCCTAATGAGTGAGCGCCCCTGTCTCTTCATCTCTGCCCCTCCTCGCGCAATCCGCCGGGTCAGCCCCGCCCCCAGCCCAGCCAGATACATATGATTACGCTACGAGGGGCGCGGCGCTTCGCGTCCAATCCGAAACGCTGCCGCAAGGGCCACGCGTCACCCCACCGCCCGCCTCCGCCCGCCCGCCCCCCAGACCGGACACCGATTGTGCAGCTTCATTACCAGGCGCTCGCGCAGGCCGCGCAGACGCATCGCGCCGTCGCGCAGCACGTGGTCGTGGAGATACTGCAGCGCCTGGCCGAACACATCGTGGCGGGGCACAGCCTCAAGGTGGGCCCTGGGGTTTGAGGGCGGCGGGGGCCCCGCTGGTGATGTGCTCGCCCGGCCGCGTCAAGGCAGCCCCCGGCAGGGGATGGCGCTCATGAGTATTTGTTGACTGGGATCGGAGGCTCCGGCAGCTTTCGGGGGTGCGCGCCATGGGCTCCGAACTCCTTGTTGTTTGCTGCAAAAAAATGCAGTGGGCAGCTGCCGCATCTTGCGCAGCAGCGATGGCAAGCGACACCCTGCCCCATCACCCGCCGCCTACAAGCGCCGCGCGGGCCCCCCGTCCGCGGTTGCAGGTCGAATTCTCGGGCGTGGGGCAGCTGGTGCGCAACCGTGCGGGGCGCATCGAGTTCGTTTTTGACAGCGGCCTGGTCGAGGCCCTGGAGCTCGGGGTGCGGCCGGTGAGCGGCGCGCGGGCGCGCTCCGCGTGCGAGCACGTCGTCCACAGCGAGCGCTGATTTGCAGTGGACGGCGTCCGGCTTGGTGCGGCGGGTTGCAGCAAGGCAGCCGGGGGCGGCCGGTGCGCGCCGCGCGGCTCGCTCGCGCTACCCTCTGCAGCCGGCGGCAGGCACAGGTCGGAATCAGCATGTTGGTTCTCCGGTTCCCCCCACTCCAGGAGTCGCCCAGCTACAGCATAGCGGAGCTGCCTGAATTACATGAACCGGCTGCTGCCAGCAGGTGGGCGGCGGTTGGCTGGCGCGTGTGAAGGACGCTTCCACTGTGCAGTGTCGCTGTCAGGGCTTTCGCGGCGCTGCTGTGTGACCCGCAGGCTTCTGCTGTCTAAAAAGGCTTGCTGATTGCTCGCGCTCGCCCTCGCGAAACGCAGGCCCGCCTCGCGCGCCACGCCGCCGCCCGCCGCGCGCGCGGCGACGCCGCAGCTGCAGCTGCAGCTGCCGCCGCCGCAGCCGCCGGCGCCGGTGCTGCAGCCGCAGGGGCTGTCCGGCGCTGACCTGGCGTACGACGCGCCGGTGGTGGCGGTGGGGTCGGTGGGTGACCAGTTTGGGGACGTGCTTCAGCACCTTCTGCGCCTCTGCCGCTCTGCAGACAGGTGAGGGCCCTGCCTGCGCCTGCTTGCCCCTTCGCCTGCCTGCCTCTTCGCCTGCCTGCAGGGCGCCTGCCTGCAGGGCGCCTGCCTGCAAGGCACGGGCTGCGTGACGCCACAGGGCTGCGCAGCGGGCTTCCGTGGAAGGGCGCCGTTGCCGTCCGCTGCGGCCCAGGCAGTGCGGCCCCGCGCCGCCCGCTGCGTGGCCGAGCTCGGATCAAGCGCCGCCCCGTGCGGCTGGACGCGCGCAGGACCCGCAGCGGCGCGGTGGCGCGGGCCCAGCTGGAGGCGTGGCTGCAGAAGGACTGCCGGGAGGTGCTGCAGGCGGTGGACGGCGCCACCATGCTGGACCTGCTGACGTTACACACCTATGGTGCGAGCTGGCCCTGGCGCGGGCCCCGGGCCCCTCCCACCGGCACGCTGCAATCTCCCCCAGCTCGCCCCGCTCTCCAAGCTGCATTGTGCTAGCTGCTAGCCCTGAGCCGCTCCGTCTCGGCACGCGCCTGGAAGCTGCCCGGCGGCTACCCAACGCAACCCTGTCCCCGCGCTTGTTGCTCGCAGGCACCACCGGGCGCTTTGTTCACTACCTGACTTTCACTCAGGACTTGGAAATGACCATTGTGGGACGCCACATGGTGGGTGCACCTGCTAATGCACACGAGTCTGTTGCTGCGGTCGTGTTCAGGGATGGAGGTTTGTGGGGTGTGTGCGGGCAAGTGCTTGTGCGCGTGCGTAAGGGGGGAGGGGCGTGCATGCGCGGTTGCGTGCATTCTGTGTGTGTGTGTGTGTGGGGGGGGGGGCGGGGTGACGCGCGTGCTTGTATACATGTGTCGGGGAGGGGAGAAAACAGGGAAAGAGAAAGAACGGGCGCGCGAGAAAATCCCTGCGTCGACTTGAATTCTGTGGTCATGCATTAGGCGCGGCGCCAACACAACAACAGGTAGGTGGTAACAGCCCACAGGAGCGCTGTCCTGGTCTGCTTGCTCACCATCAACATCCCACTTGAACTGGTGTTGGCACTTTGTCGGCTGGCAATACAATGAACCCGGGTCCCATTTCACCCCCTGCAGCAGCAACAGCACCAGCAGCAGCAAGCGCTTATCCGGCCAAGCTCTGGCCCCCAGCAGGCGCTGGCGCCTTTCGGCGCGCCCTCGCCGGCGCCGGCTCCGCAGCAGCAGCAGCAGGCGCAGCGGTTCGTAGTTCAGCACTCGCCGCCGCCGCCGCCGCCGCAGCAGCAGCAGCAGCAGCAGCAGCAGGAGCAGCGGCGGCCAGCCGCGCCGCTCATTGTGGAGGATATCACCCCACAGTTTCAGCAAGACTCGGTGCGCTCTCAATAAGGGTGGGGTTCTGCTGCCGCAGGAGTGCACGTGTCACTGCAACTCGCCCAGCACCAACATGAGCCGGCAGAATTGGGATCCGCAACCTGGAGCCGTCCCGATCGCCGAACACGCGCCCCCTCCCAACCCGCAGTACGCTGCGCCCTGGCCCGCGGCGGGCGCCCCCGGCGCGGGCGCGCCCCCCGGCAGCCCGCCGCCGCCGCCGCTGAACCACTACCTCCAGAACATGATATCGCCGCGCTCCAGGGCGGAGTATGATGAGTTCAATAAGTACCACTTCGGGCGGCTGAGGCAGGGGCGCGACCGGCGCGCCATCACGCCGAAGGCGCGCCGGGGGCGGGGGGTGCGGGCGTCCGACGCGCGCAGCGGGCTGGTGGGGGGGGCCAAGGGCGGACGGGGCCGGCGCCCTGCTCTGGGACGATTGGAGGTGGGGCTTGTTCAAAACCGGGGCGCCGGCTCGCTCAGGTTCGCACGAACGCCAGGCATGTCAGCTGAGGGCGCTCGCCCTGACAACGCCAACGATCCCCACCCACTGGCACACGGGCCGCGGCGCGCCGTCCGCTTCCCGCACCTCTTGGATGCTGTCAGGTGGGCGAGGAGCCGCTGAACCGAGATGAGGTGGCGCAGTACAGGGCGGAGCTGCGCAGCCCGCAGGTGGCGGCAGGGATCGCGGAGAGGGTGCGGTCTCCAGAGGTGAGGCCGCGCGGGCGAAGGAGGGGGAGGCGCGGCGGCGCCAGGGCCCGGGGCCGTCAGCGTCAGGGCCTTTAGTTGCGCAGCCAGCCGCCGCAGCAATGGGCGTCGCGTTTTGCCCGCAGGCCCGGAGCCTACCAAGCATGGGATGCGCCTGATTTGAGCCACCTTCAACCTCGCGTGACACTTGGCCGATGTACGTCTGCAGCTTCTTCACGCACACCAACCCACTTAATGACACCTCCACGCCCCTACAGAGATACACGCGCGTGCCAAGGCAGGCTCGAACAAACCCCGCTCAACCAGGCACACCTGCATATCAAGCCCCCCCCCAAACACACACACACACACACACATGCACACACACACATGCACATGCACACACACGCGCACACACGCACGAATACTCTCTCTGACACACACACACACACACCTATGCGCACATGCGCGTGCGTGCACGCGCAGGTCAAGCCCACAAACCAGCTGGACCACGTGAGCGACCTCCTGCACTCCCGCCGCCCCGCGGCCCAGCAGCGGCTGTACGCGGCGCCGGTGCAGCGCTTTGTGCTGCCGGAGCGCGACCACCTTGGACAGGGCGGCGCGTCAGAGGGGTACGGGGGATACGGCGACGGATGGTGACAGGGCGTGCCTGGCAAGGCAGGCGGCCGCGGGTTGGGGCAAGGTGCGGGCTGCCGCGGGCGGCGGGGAGGCCGGGTCGTGGACGGAATCGGCCTCTCCCCGTCGCATGGATTTGCAGCTTTGGTTGCAGCACCCCGGCTCATGGGTCGGGGAGGCCGAGTCGCCACTCTGCGAATGCCCGAGGGCCCGGCTACAAGGTGCTTGCACGCTCGCGAACGGCGGCCCTGCGTGCCCCGGGCGGCATATCGCATGCTGGCGTTACTACTTGTCACGCTTTTGAAGACCTTGCGCTGGGGGTTTGGGCGTTGGGGGGTGTCCTGCAGCTCTGCGGCCCTTGGCTGCTGACTAAATGACGTAACCGCTGACGCACCTCATGCTTTAATCTGGAGACTTATGCATTCATTGTCCCTGCCCCACTCAACGACCCCGTGACCTTCTGACCTACCATGATGTTCTTACTCTCATCCCAGCTCATGTTGGTGCATTTGCTCACCTGCAACAGCCCTCAACTGTGCGCAAGCTGCACAGGGTAAAGCTCTGGTCGCTGTGAGGGGCCGTGGCGCTGGGTATGCTATTGGTTGCTCATACGTGCATATCCATGATTGGCAAAGGTGACAGGACCATACTTTGGTTTCACAAGCGGTCAGAGCACACAGTTCAATGCATGACATCTGTATGGGTCAGCATGTAGTGATCACCACCCAGCTCGTGGTGCAGCCCAGAGTAGTACACCACTTTGCACGCCTGTGTCCTTTAGCATACATGCAGTGGCTATCCAATCACCCAGCGCACACTCTTGCTGCGGTCAGCGTGGACAGTGTCATCAGGGTGACCCCCGCACGCAACACACCCGCTTCGTGGAGACAGCTGCACTGCTCACCTGTACAATATGCAGTGACCATGCACATGAATGGATTGCATTCTTCCACTGCTAGGATGGATCGCACAAACTAATTGTCGTCGCGCGGTGCCATCAACGTGCCGCTGGCTCGGCTGGACGGTGATCTTTCTCGCTGCGGGATCCTGATCCATTAGCATACATCGCAGAAGTCAACATCACTCAACAGCACAGCAAGCAGCGCCATCGGCCCAGCACCGTGGAGTACCATCGACGAACACAGCACAAGCAGCAGCACAAAGCACTAGCACAAGCAGGCCACGGCTGCGATGGGCGCGGTGCCGCGCTTTGCAACGAGCTACTACATTGTGAATACGCTGCTTGTGGGATCATACGTTTTAGTGCGCCTATGGTTTGCCAAGTCGGACCCTGACACCCGGCGCGGGCAGATCAAGACGGACGAGCAGCTGCTGTCCTGGGTGAGCGTCATGAACCCGCCTTGGTCGCACGCGTGGCGGGGGCAAAGCGCGTCGGACGTAGGCCCCATCGTCCAAGCGTGAAGCCGGCAACAGCGGCTTGCTTGACATGTGGTGCAGCAGACAAGATGTTCAAGCCGCGCGCGCCCACCAGGGCAACCGGCCTGTCCAACACACTCACCTGCGCCCCCCCTCCCCCGGACCCGTACCGCGGCCTCAGGAGAAGCAGGCGGCCCTGGCGCTGGCCGCAGTCCTCGCCTTCAGGCTGTGGCGTCGCCGTTCGGCCGACCACGCCGCCAGCGATGCATTCTTCTACAGCAAGGCAAGCAAGGGGGTGCACACACACACACACACACACACACACACACACACACACACATACTCTCTCTCTCTCTCTCTCTATCTATCTATTTATCTCTCTCTACCTCTCTATCTCTCTACATGAGAGAGAGAGAGTTCTCTGTCTAGCGCGCACGCGCGCACTCACACACACACACTTACACACACCAGCATCACCACCATGATCGCCACCAGGCTGTGCTGGGCATGATGGCCTTCATGATCGACTTCCGCCTGCTGGCATGGTACTGTCTGGCATTCTGGGGTGAGGGGGCCGGGTCCAAGGACCGGGCAGGGAGTGGGGGAGGGAGGGGAGAAAAAATATAGCAGTTCCTTCATGATGCAGTCGTGGGCTGGCCCTCATAGTTGAGAGAGGTGCTCGCGGGCCTGCCCAGTCAACACCGTGGCTCGCCACAGGAAGCCCAGTTCCCCCGCCGCTTGCAGTGCGCCAACGGCCCCTGCCACTGCGCTGTACGCTCCCCCCTGCAATGCAGGCGCATACGCCCTGCTGCCGCAGCCCATGATAGACCTGGCAGAGTCAGGTGCGGGGCGCACAGTGCTGACTTTACAACAAGGCAGTGGCATCGTAGCTACGTGCGCCGGGCGCGGCGGAGCAGTTGACGCAAGCGCAATGGGGTGGCTGCCGTCCACTGCCCATGTCGCATCCAGCACGCCGTGCATCAGCTGGGGCCGCGCTCTTGTGGCTGCGCGCCGATGCAGCCGCGCGAGCTCGCGCCCTCGCCCCTGTCCCCGCCCCCGCCCGGCCCGGCCCCAGGTGACGTGGCGTCCCTCACGCCGACGACCCTAAAGGAGGCGAGCCTCTCCAACGACTACGCCACGATGGTGCGCTGCCGCGCACGTGGGACCTTGGTGGGGCGCAATGGGGAACCAGGGATCGCGTCTTGATGGTGTGGTATGGGCGCGTCGGTGTGTGGTAAGGGGTGCTTCAAGGGCAAGGGGAGACGTCGTTTGTTGGGCAGTGTGCCTTCCCTTGCAAGGGGCCCCTCACGCGGGGCATGGCGGCACGGCGGGCCGGGGCATGTGCAGCGCCTGACGTGTGGCGGTGGCCGACCCGACGGCGCGCCCCAGCCCGGGGGTGTGGTCGCGGGCCCTAGCTGGGTTCCCCCGCGGCCCAGGTCTGGTGCATCACGCTGGACGCCCTCACACCACCCGCAGGTGTTCTTCTACTCGGCGGTCCACAGCACCTCGGTCGCAGCTGCGCCCTCCTTCCTCCAAGTCGCCAGCGAGTGAGCCCCTGGCGGAGCCGCAACCCGAAAGGCAGCGCGACCGTCTTTCAGTTGTGACCAAAATGCGGTGGCTCATGTTGTGGCGTGGCCGCAGCACCTGCCTCCACGTTTGCACCTGGTTTGGTTGATGCTGATGTGCAAAGCAGGCCTGTCACAATCAGCTGTCTTGGACAAAAGCCACCCCGATTTTGCCGTTGCCCCCACCCCCACCCTGCTCCGCCAACCTTGGCGCCTGTGACAATGCTATCCTACAGCCACCTCTCGCGTGCGCCATTCCGACCCACCCACCAACCGGCCTACTTTGCCCACCACCCCACCCTTCCACCTACCAACCCGCCCGCGTGCCCGCCCACCAACCAAACCAGATTCTCATCCGGCAAGCTGCGCTTTGGGGCCTTTGACGTCAGCATCTGGCCCCGTGCGGCGGCCGAGGTGCGCATGACCTGCAACACCTGGTCAAATCAGCTGCCAGCGGTGGTTCTGTACGAGAAGGGCAAGGAGTGGGGCCGCCTGCCCCCCGTCGGTTCAGACCCTTCCAAGAGAAATTACTACAGGACGGTGGGTGCAGTGCGTCGAGGCGTGTGCGCGCGCACTCATGGGGGGTTGTTTCCCGTCTGCAGGTGCATGCGTCAGGGTTGGGTCGCATGGGATGGGGCTGTTCAGGGGATGGAGGGTTGGGGCGAGGGGTGGACGGACTAGGAGACAATTTGAGGGGTGGCCTGTCGCCCCAGATCAGAACATATGGGCAACGCGAGGCACGCGCTCTTTTCAGGGCGCTCTCTTGATTGCTCAGCAGCACGTAACGCTCTTGTATCTTGGTGGTTCCACTTGCCAGTATGGGCCATCTCATCGTCACCGGACTCCCCTCCCCTCGCGCCCCCCGCCCCCCCGCAGGGCGACATCATCAGGCTCTTCAAGCTGGCTGAGCGCTTCAACCGCCCGCTGGACGTATCAGGGAGCAAGCGGCACTAGCAGCAGCGGCAGTAGCGGGAGCTTGGCGTCTTCGCATGCCAGAGATGCTCCAAAGGCGGACCCCCCATCTGCAAGATTTTTGCTCTGGTGGAGCATCAGTGCGGCCACCGGAGTGTGGTCGCTCTCTGATGTGGCGCATCCGCGGCTTCCGGCGTGCGCTTCTCTGCTGCAAACGGGTCAATGCGTGTCAGGCTTGGCGAGAAGCGTTGGCAGGGGCACGGCGCAGTGCTGCCCCCTCCTATTGTGGCACCAGGCACTTACTCTACAATGCATGTGCCATATACAGAGGGCTGGGTGCGCTGTGCAGCATGTCTGACATGTGCAGATATGCTTGTCAGCAGCATGCAGTGTGTTGTGTGGACTGGCATGGCTCTCGTTGGTTGTGCTCGTGCTGGATGTCATGCAGTTGTTGGTTGCGACCACTGACAAGCTCGCATCGCAATGCACGGACAGTCTCCTCGCCATTTTGTAATAGAGTTTCACTATCAGTCAACTTATGCAGATAATTTCGGCTCCACGTGGACCCATCCTGAAGGCGCGACACGTCAACTCTTGCCGTTCCCCGGAATGACTGATGGTGCAGTTTGATTATGGAACTCCCATCCCGACCACCCTTCAATTTCACACTCATGTTTCTTTCTTCATATATATGTGGCCCTTAACTCCCCCGTGGCAAAGACCACTTGTTCGCCCTGGAAATCCTCGCGCCTGGCCGCATCGCCCGCTTGCAACATGAATGTTGAGACTCCCACCACCTCTGAGGGGTTTCAGGTACGCACATAGCCGCTCCCATGCATCCCCGGCACGCCCCCGCCATCACGTCCACGTCAGCTGCCTGCGTGCTGTTGTGCCAATGCGCGCCCCGGGTGCTGACTGCTCCCCGCCTTGCCTGCGCAGATGGCCCATCTGGGACTGAACCCTAAGAAGGTCTTCCGCAACCTGCCGGTGGCGCGATTGTACGAGCTGGTGCGTCCAAACGCGGTGGAGGGGCCTGTCGGCGGGTGTGTGGGGCCACTCATCCTCAATGGCAGCGGCAGGCCCGAGCAAAAGCGCACCCCAACCGTGGCAACACCGTGGCGCCCCGCGACGCGCGTGCACTGTGGCCAATGACGCAGGCGCTGAAGCATGAGCCGGGGACAATCATCACCTCCACTGGCGCCCTGGCAACGGTGTCTGGTGAGTCGACGCGCCCCTCCTCTTCTTGCTGCCGCTCCGGCTTGGACTGGCTGCTCATCATGGCCCGCCACACGACAGGCTTTTTGGCGAGCCCTCTGCCGGGTCAGACTTGCGCTGGCGCTTCACCGGGGAGGCTGCTGCAAACGCCTCCTCGGACTCGCAGTCGCTGCTGGGGCCGGGAGCCAGAGCTGCTGGCAGCCAGATCGCACCCACTCTCCACCTACGCGGAGGGCCCGCACCTAGTGCCGCTCGCAGCACTACATGCCGACAGCGCAGCCTGCAGGCGTAACCGCCACACACCTAGGCCTGCCCAGCAGTGAGCACTTCTCTCGGCAGCCGTGCCCCCTAACATGCCTGTTTTCCTCTCACCCTCCGTCACCCCTGGCACCTGATTTATGAACACGTCCCTTAACCCCAAAAACACAACGTTTCACGCATCTCAGGCGCCAAGACGGGCCGCTCCCCGCGCGACAAGCGGGTGGTGCGCGAGCAGGGCACAGAGAAGGAGGTCTGGTGGGCCGCCCCAAACAGCGGGTCGCCCAATCACGAGATGGACGAGAGGTGAGTGGGGCCGTGACAAGGCGGCCTCGCTGGCTCGCCAGATCATCGCTGTCTGCGCCTGCCGGCAGACCCTCTGCCACACCCGTGGCCGTCCTTCCCCAGCACCTGCCGAGCAGGTGCTGGGCGGCTGGGCCACCCGCGGCCGCCGACACCCCTTGATCGCCTCACTTGGCAACACAGCCTCTATGTGATGGCAGCAGAATGATTACGCACAGGGGTTCAACCAGCTGAAACCCAATCCGCGCCTCTTGTCAACCTGCACACTCTGCCGCCCCTATCTCCTGCAAACCCTGCCACCCCTCCCTCCCGTGAAGGTCGTTCCTCCTCAACCGCGAGACCGCCCTGGGCTATCTTAATTCGCTGCCGCACGTGTTCGTATTCGACGGCTTTGCCAACTGGTCCCCAGAGGTGTGCATCGGTTTGCCCAGACCCCTGCGCGCACAGCTTGACACATACCCGTTCACGCGCGCAAGGATGCACACACGTCTCACGCCCCACTTGCCTGGTGCACACCTGCTGCTGGTCCCTCCAAGGGAGTCCCTTGCCGTGCCGCGTGCGCGACCCTTGCAACCCTCGCACTCACTCTCGCTCGACCGTCCCACCCCCCGTCCCCATGCAGCAGCAGCACCTCACCCTGTCCACCCACCGCTGCACGCTATATCCATCTCCACCCACCATTGCGCGTTTTCCACCCACCACTGCAGTCCCGCATCAAGGTGCGCGTCATCACTGAGAGGGCCTACCACGCGCTGTTCATGTCCAACATGCTCATACGGCCCACCCCTGCGGAGCTGGACGACTTTGGGGAGCCCGAGTTTGTTATCTACAACGCAGGTGAGACCGGAGGATTGTGTTGGACTGTGGCAGCAGGTGGCAGCAGGGAAGTAAACAACGTGCACACAGGGTGAGTTTGTTTGTGTGAATTGACACATGCAAGCAGCACACCTTGACCAGGTGTCGGCGAGCAGCAGGACGACATTTGACCTCGCTTGCTGCCCTTGACCGGTCGTAGGTGCGTTCCCGGCCAACCGCTACGCCAACTACATGACGTCATCCACCAGCGTGGCCATCAGCCTGAAGCACAGGGAGATGGTCATCCTGGGCACTGAGTATGCGGGAGAGATGAAGAAGGGCGTCTTCAGGTGCGTGTGTGCATGCATGCATGCATGCGTGCGTGCAAGCGTGCGTGTTTTGGTACACGTGTGTCATCCAGCTGGGCTAGCCGACACGATTGGCTGCAACTCTCTGCCATCCTGACGCGTGCTGCCCTGCAAAGACGGCCCCGCACTGTTCACGCGCCCCTCCTCTCCCCCAGCTACATGCACTACCTGATGCCCAAGCGTGGCATCTTGTCGCTGCACAGCGGCTGCAACGTGGGCCACGATGGGGATGTCACGCTCTTTTTCGGCCTCAGCGGTGGGTTGAAACGTGCGCTGTTGCTGTGATTGGCTGCCTACTGAGCCGCACCTTCCCGCCTTGAGTCCCTTGACCCCGCAACTCACAAGTTTGCCTCCATGCGTGTCACCCGGTCCTTCTGTCCCCCTCACCGACCGTGCCCCTGGCTTCCTGCGCAGTGGGAGCTAGCCCCTGTCCAGTCTGGATCTAGCGTGTTACTTTCTTGCACTCGCCGGCCCTCCAGCCCACATCATTCCAATCGCCTCCACAACGCACATACCTATACTGTCTATCCCACACGGCACCAACCCAGGCACCGGCAAGACCACCCTCTCGACAGAGCCCCACCGGCCCCTGATCGGCGACGACGAGCACTGCTGGGGCGACGGCGGCGTGTTCAACATTGAGGGCGGCTGCTACGCCAAGTGCATCGGGCTGCAGGCCAACAGCGAGCCGGAGATATTCAAGGCCATCAGGTGACGCCGGTGTGTCGCCACGGTCTTTGCAATACAGCAATATCAGTGAATGGTGGTTTGAGGCCCTGCACCCTGCCCTGTCAGGCCGGATCACAGAACTTCTGGCAAAATTGTGAACCCTTGCCCAAGCCTTTTCTCACTTGAAATTGTACTCACCAGTCATCATACCCGCTGCCCCGCAACATCACTCTCCAACACCAACGGTTTCGTTGCCTTCCACACCCTTCCGCTTGCAGGTTCGGCGCTGTCCTTGAGAACGTGATGGTCAAGGGGCCCAGCCGCCAGGTCCACTACGCCTCCAGCGCCCTCACAGAGAACACGCGCGCCTCCTACCCCATCACCTACATCGACAACGCGCGCATCCCCTGCGTGGGCCCCCACCCCCGCAACGTGGTGCTGCTGTGCTGCGACGCGTTTGGGGTGCTGCCGCCGGTCAGCAGGCTGACGCTGGAGCAGGCCATGTACCACTTCATCAGCGGGTACACGTCCAAGGTTGGTAATCGCTGGGGCTGCGGCGGAGGACGCGCACGCGTGCGCTTGCGATCAAGTGGATCATGCACGACGCCGCGCTTGCGTGGTGTGCAGTGCTGTGCACGCGGCAACCTCAGGTGCGCCTGCGGCTGATGTCGGTGTGCGGACTCTGTGCGAACTCACGCAACATACTTGCGTGAGGGTCTGGTGGCACGCATTGCTTGTGGGCGCCCCTCTAAGGCGTCTACGCCCTGCCCGTGACCCTGCCTTGCACCCCTGCTGCCCCGATCCTCACTCAGGTGGCTGGCACTGAGATGGGCATCACCGAGCCGGAGGCCACGTTCAGCGCCTGCTACGGCGGCGCGTTCCTCATGTGAGCTCGCCGCTGCAGGTCGAGGTGCAAGCCGGCATGCCAGGGAAGGGTTGCCAGAACGAAGTGTAGCTGGCCAGGAAGCAACGCGCATGCGTGCGGTTGCTTGCACTGTGGGGGTCGGTGGGATCATTAACTTAGGCACAACTTCTCAAACCCCCTCCACTTGCGGACCACAATCGTGCACGAATTGACCAAAGGTGGCACCCCATGAAGTATGCTGCCATGCTGGCTGAGCGCATGTCAAAGCATGGCACCAAGGCATGGCTGGTCAACACCGGCTGGACCGGCGGGAGGTGAGGGGGTTGTGGGGGTATCGCGAGCACTGGCGGTCTTAGACTACCCCAGGTGGGCAAGAGACGCCGCTTGCTTGCACAGAAGGCGTGCAGCATTTACCATCCGGCTGCACCAACGAATAGACCCCAAGGCAGAACCTGTGCGTTTATTGACCCGGCGGGCCCGCTGTCCACTCGCATATGTGCTTGCAGCTACGGCGTGGGCAGGCGCATGAGCCTCAGGAAGACGCGCGCCATCATCGACGCGATCCACTCTGGGGAGCTGTCGCGCGTGGAGACCGCCGCGCTGCCGCTGTTCGGCCTGCAGGTAGGACGCCTTGAGGGCAGCAGGGCAGGAATGCAGACCCCTTGCCCCGCAGAACCCAACATGCCTTCACAAGTCGATTCAACGCCTCCTCCGATGTGCAACACACAGCATGTATGCAAGTGATCTCTGCTGGCGCAGAACTCATGGCAATGGATGCACCCAGCACAAAAGCTGCCTGTTCAGTCTCCCCATGTAAGCAATCCCAACCCATGACAAACCGTCCCTCCAGGTCCCAGTCAGCTGCCACGGCGTGCCGCACGAGGAGCTGCAGCCCCATAAGGCCTGGGGCAATGAAGACGCCTACAACTCAACGCTCACCCACCTGGCGCGGCTGTTTGTGAACTCGTTCAAGCAGTACCTGGAGGTGCGGGTTCCCTTGACGCGTCCAGCAGGGAGCTTGCATGCGCGCTGGAAGGCTGCTCGGATTGGTACGTCAAATGTGTGGCTGATGGATTGGACGGATGGTTGCCTGTGAGCTCCAACGACTGAAGTCAGTGAGCAGCAGCAACGTCCAACGCATCACAGCAGTGACGCCTGGAAAAGAGCGTAAATGCCCCCATCGCATCAAGGGTCCAGTCCCACCCCCACTGCTTTCTCCCGCCAAACCATCTTGTGGTGTCGGTGTCCCCGTGCCACCCCATAGGACGCTCATGAGCACGTGGGCAGCGAGCTGGCGGAGCGAATCCTCACGGGCGGCCCTGATGGTGCCCAGCTGGAGGCTTACGAGGCCAAGCACGAGCCCCTGAGCGGTTCCAAGCTTGGCACCACCGGCGCGCCCAAGACGGCCGCCGCCAAGGCCGAGGGGCCGGCGATGGCAGCTGCCGCAGGGGTTTTGGCCTTGGCGCAGCTGGTGGCGGCGTGAAGGGCGGTCCAAATTTTGCGGGCTGTTTACCCAGCAAAGGTTGTACAGTGTACCACGCACTGCGATGGTGGGTACATGCAGAGCCGGCAGATGTGATGTGTTGGCACGGCCTGACACTTGCTTGCAATATGCCTGATGAATTTGCCATTGGAGTTGAAGGAACTGTGCACTGAACGCAGTAGGCTAGTCGGCAGCCATGTTTTGACGGCTTGCTGGACGTCCACAAGCGAGGGGTGCAATGTACATTTATGGTTGTCTGACGGGGGCACAACCCCAGCTCTCTCCCTGAGGTGCAACTGCGACCCAAACCCGCTGCCTGCTGCGCCGCACTGAATTGTGTCATTGCCTGCGCAGAGTGACATGTCTCGACGGCAGCCTTGATGGCGCCGCCCCCGCAAGCCGGTCCCCAGTGTAATGCGCCTGCCGGCCTCAGCGGTAGCTGAAACCTTCAACCTGCGTGCGCTGCCAGCGTGCCCAGTTGGCGTGGGCGCAGCGGAGCAGAGCGAAAGCTGTCTTAATGCCAGGAAAATATGTAGGTGCTGATGTATTCATGCCCCTTTGCGTGCCGTCGCCCTCAAGTCATCAAGCGTTTGCACCATGGCCATGTCAGCATGTGGGTCACCACGCGCTTGAATCGTAGGCACCGACAGCCAAATGACGAGCTTAATGATGGCTGTCACGTGTCGAAGATGACAATGTTCATCTGGAACAGAAAGTTGCTTGTTCATAGGTGTACATGTATAGCGTGGGCAAGCGCACCCGTGTCAAATCCAGATCGTCACCGGCGGGAACTATGCTAGCTGTCGTCAATTGAACTGTGTAAATTCAGCAATGGGACCCGTGGCTTGCGTTGCCCAGCTCGTGGAGGCGAAGGGGGCTGGCTTGGCCCCTGCGATCGCATCTGTGGCAAGCTCGCTTGACAGAGCATCGCATAGCGACGTAGAACTACTCCATGCAGCGTTTGACGCGGCTGCAGGCCGCCTGGACAGCCCGGGCGCCGAAAGCGGCCCGCACACGGTCGCGCTCCTCGCGCTGTTGTCGCGCTCAGCAGCGCTGCTACGCGCAGCTGGCGCATGCAGCACGGCCGACCCCGACGCGCTCCAGTACAGCCTCATCCGCAAGCTTGTGGGCCGCGGCGCGCATGCCGCTGCGCTTAGCCAGGGCTGGGAGCTGTTTGAAGCTCTTGAGGGCCAGGAAGCAGCGCCGCGCCGGCAGGGCCATCAACAACATCATGAGCAGCGGCAAAAGCAGCGGGAGGCGCTGCTGGTGGGGGCGGTCATAAACCTGGTGGTCTGCACGGCGGAGGCCGGCGTCCCTGAGCCAAGCACCTGCGGCAGGCTGGGCGCGGCAGCCGAGCGACTGGCCATGTTGCTCAGGTGAATTGCGCGCCGCCTGGGTTGTTTGCGCACACCGCGGAGGCGCTTCAAGACAGGAGATCATGAGGACCCCCGCTGCAGCTGACAGTGCGTGAAGTCTTGCGGGTACCACCCTGCGTGCTTGTGCTGCAGGCCGATGATGTGCTTGCTGTCTGAGAACACTGTCCTTTCCGCTGTGCAGGACCAGCGGCGACCCAGCGGCGGCCAGCAAGCACGCAGACGTGCTTGTGCGGTACCTACTCAAAGTAGGTGGAAGCCTGGTAGCTGCCACTGGGGCCTGAGGCCTGCCCCGTATGTAGCACCTTGCTGCTGTTTTCCTGTTGGTCTGAAAGCCAAGCTACAACACCCCAAAGAATCTGCCGAGGCATTCTCGCTTGCCAAACCCATATGTGTCCAACCTGCTCATCTTGGACAGATCTTCCAGCACTTGAGCACCAAAGCGGCATCGCAGCAGGCGGAGGCGGCGCCCGGGCTGCCGCTGCTCGTCGCTGGTCTGCTGCAGGCGTGCGCGCTGTCGTCGCAGCCCGCCAAGCTGCCGCAGGTGCTGCAATCCGCTTTCGCGACTGCCCCAGTTGCTTAAAGAGCGGCGTGTGGCGTGCAGCGGTGGGAGGTTTGAGGCCAAGAGCCTGGGACGTGCAAAGAAATGCATGCTAGTCCTCATGAGCCATGACTGCCTCCTCCCCCGTGAACCCAGGTGCTGCTGAGGGCCTGCAGCTGCATGCCTGTTGACCAGGGGCACTTATGCCTGGAGGCCATCTTGTCATGCAGCGCGAAATCGAGGCAGGGCCCGTGCGGCGGAGCGCCCACCGCGGTCGCGTGGGTGGACGTGGGGCAGGCGGCCGCGGCTTTGGACTTGCTGGTCCAGTTCGCGCAGAGCAAGGAGCTCGGGGGGCGGTGGGCTCTGCGGCTCGCCGAGCGTCGCGGCTTGAGCCCTCTGGCAGGGCTGTGGGTGGCTGCGCTCGGGCTGCAGCCAGAGGCGAGCGTGGGTCAGGCCGCCCTTGGCGCGTGCAGCGCCGCTATTGAGGCTGCGGGTGTGTTCCTGCAGCAGCTTGCCTCTGAAGCTCCAGGCGGTGGCGACGACGGCAGCAGCAGCAGCAGCAGCAGCAGCAGAAGGCGCGGGGGTGCTGACCCCCTGGAGAAGGGCAAGCGCTGCTGCGGCAGCAAGGGCACCCGGGATGGAGGAGCAGTAGGCGGTGCCTGCGGCGCTGGAAATGGAGAAAGCGCTGAACGGTGGGGCCTGCAGCTGGCGTGTGAGGGGCTCAGGCAGCTGCAGCACGCTGTCACAGCAGCGGCTGAGCAGGGCGACCGGCAAGGTAGGTCCACAATGGGGGGGCCAGGCGCCTTGGCAGTGCCTCGGCAACCCTGGAATAGGCTACAATGCAGCCTGTGTTCCTGCAGTCCGCTGCCCTTCACCGTTTCTGATCGCAAACTGACCACATTGTGCTCCAGCGGACGAGCTTTCCCCACCCCTGCGTTTGAATATCTGCAGGGGGCCTCGCCAGCATGCACCAGCTAGCGGACCTCCTGGTCTTGTCAGCCAGCCCCCCATTCAGTGGCTCGGCCCACCAGGAGGCCGAGCTTCAGCAGCAGCCCGCACCGCACGCAGCGCTTGCGGCCGCGGCAGAGGCCCTCACGGCCGCAGCGGCATGCCGTGACGAGCGGCTGCGGCTGGAGGTGTGGGAGCGGTTGGCCGCAGCAGCGGGCGAGCTGGCAGGCGCGGAGCCGCCTCAATCTGGCGAGGCATGCGAGGTTGATCCTGAAATAGGCCAGCTTCAGCGCTTGGCGAGCACCCTGCACAACGCAGCCTCAGCGCTCAGCAGCGCAGAGAGCGCCGCCCGCGCAGGCCCCAGCGCCGACGCTGGCGCGCCGCGGCAGCTGCGGGCCGCGTCTCGGCTCCTGACCGCGGCGTTCCGCTGCAGTGTGCGGCGCTGGACGCTGGAGCTCGCGGGCGGCGGCGGCGCCGAGCTCGCACATGCGGCCGAAGACGCAGGCCGGCGCGCGAGGGCCTGCATGAGCGGGCTGGTGCGGTGCGCCAGCAGCGGCGGCTGCGGCGCGGGCGGCGAGGGCGCGGAGCTCTTGGCAGAGGCGGCGGCCTGCGTGCGGCAGCTGCTGTCCCTGCTGGGTGCCCGGCAGCTGCTGCGGGAGCTGCCGCTGCTGCGGAACCTCCTGCGAGCCTTCAGCAAGCTCGCTGCCGCGGCGGACGCGCCGCCCGCGCGCGCGGCGGCCCCGGTTCCGCGTGGCTGCGGCAAAGGCCGGGCCAAGGCGGGCCAGGACGCCCAGTGCGGGGGCGGGGGCGCTGGCAAGCCTGTGTCCTGCACGGAGCTGCTGCTGGGCAGCGGCGACGCGGCTATGGTGCAGCTGGCGGACGTGGTCGCGTTTGCTGAGGCGCAGTGCCTGGCAGAGCTCAATTCACGAGGCGGGCGGCCCGCCGGGGAGCGGCTTGCCCTGCAGTCCCGCGCGGCCCAAGTGCTCGAGGCGGCGGCCGCCGGCGCGCCGCCGCCGGGCTGGGGGGCCGGCGCGTGGGGCGCGCAGATGCAGCTGGTGGCTGCTCTCTGCGACTCGCGGGCCGCGCCCGACTCCCTTGCCGGGGCAGCTGACGCCCTCGCTGCCGATGATCAGGGAGCCGCCGCAGGCGCGGCCAACCCCAGGGGCGCGGGCAAGGCACCCAGCGGCGGCGGCCGGCGGCGGCAGCAGGTGGGGACGGATTGTGGGGCGGACGATGGCGAGGCGCCGCAGGCGTGGTTGGCTGCGTCCAGGGCGGAGTCTGCGGCGCTCTGCCGATGCTTGGCAGCGCTGCAGGCGGCCGCCGCGGCGGCCGCAGAGGCTGGAGGCGTGGCGGGCAGTGTTGAGGCCGAGACCTGGAGTGAGGCAGGGCAGCCCGGGCTGGAGCAGGATGCAGCAAGTGAAGCGTCTGGCGGCAGCAGCGCCAGCGCCAGCGGCGCCAGCGGCGCCAGCGGCGCCAGCGGCGCCAGCGGCAGCATCAACAGAAGGGCCAAGGCTCGGGCCCCCGCCAGGAAGGGAAAGGCAGCGGCGGCGGCGGCCGCGGCTCCGCCGACTTGCGCCAACGGCGGCGGCCAGGCGCTTGGCGTCTGGTCTGAATCCGCTCAGGCCGCGTGGTGCGGCGTGCGCAACGACCTGGAGGATGCAGCACGGCTGTGGGACACCGCGGCCGCGGCCGCCGCCCAGGCCGGCGAGCCAGACGGGCGCTGCGTGTGCCGCTTCCCCCTGGAGAGCAGCCACGCGCTCCTGCAGGCGTGGCACATAGCGGCCCTCCAGGGCTGGGAGCCGCTGCAACGGCGGCTGGCGGCGGCGGCGGGCCCCGTGCTGGCGTGCCTCGGGCCGAGCGAGCTAAGGGAGCTGGCGCCGGCGCTGGGCGGCGTCCCATCCGAGGGCTGGCTTGCTGACCTGCTGGCGCCGGGAGCGCCGAGGGAAAGCCTGGCCGGCAGTGTCTCCTCCACGCTCCACGCAGCCATGGGCGGGCCTGGCAGCACGGTCCGGGGCCCTGAGCACGACCCCGAGCCCGCCAGCGGACCGGGCTGTGCGCTCGCGGCCCGCAGCCGGCGGCTGCGGCGGGCGGCAGAGGAGCAGGAGGCCGCGGCGGCGGCGGGCGGCGCCCAGGCCGACCCTTGGGCCCGGCTGCAGGGAGCGCGGCTGCACCTGGCGGCGGCGCAGGCGGCGGTCGCCTGCGGTGACCTGCCCGCCGCCTTCGCCGCCGCGGAGCGCGCCCTCTCGCTGAGCGGCGCCGTGCACGCCGACTTGCGAGGCGGCGGGGCGTCCGGTGATGAGGGAGCGGCTGCGGCGGCCGAGGTGGACGAGGGGTCGGGCGGCGGCGCCTCTCCAATGGACGTCGATGCGGACGCAAGAGGCCAGGTGCTGGCGGATCAGCAGCAGCAAGGGCAGCGGCAGCCGGTCAGCTGGGCTGAGACGCCCAGCGCCGCTGCCGCCACCGGCAGCCCCTCGGACGCGCTGCTGCGCTGGCAGGCGCTGGGGCTGTATGTTAGCAGCGCGTGGCACCTGGGCTGCGAGAACGAGGCGGCCGGCTGCCCAGAGGAAGCCATCCGACTGTTGAGAGAGGCAGCGGCGCTCGCCGGCGCCGCGCGCTGCGCCGCGCTGGCCGCGGCCGCGCACGCCGCCATGGCGCGTGCGTGGTGCAGGCGCGGAGACGCGGCCCGGGCGGGCGCGCAGCTGCGGCTGGCGGAGGCGTGCGTGTCGGCCATGCGTGCGGGGCCGGGCTCTGACGGCGGGGACGCGACTGCAGCGGCGGCGGGCGGGTCTCGCCGCAACGGCAGCCACCGGTCGCAGCAGCAGCAGCAGCAGCAGGAGGAGGAGGGCGAGGACAGCGCTGCAGGGGCGAATGCAGGGGTCAGGGTGGAGGCGGCCGTGTCGGCGCTGGTGGCCTGCGCGGCCGCGGACGTCGCCGCCGCGGCCGGGGACAGCGCGGCCGCGCGCGCGCACTACGCGGC